GATTGTAAGGAAAATCCGTTCATCAATATATCATACGACCCTTGATTTTCAAGGCGCCGGAGCACCATCTCTGTTACTCTTCCATTCATCCCATATATCATACGACCGTCGCTCCCTGAGCAACGCGCCGGAGCAACGCCCAAAATCCACCATCAACACCACCATTAAACGGCCTTGTAGCTCAGGCCGTGAACCAGACGGCCGAGATCAGTTCCTCTCTCGACCACAATCGTTTGATTATAAGTTGAACCCAAACAGGTGCACCACTTAACCATTTTCATCTACATCACCATCTCGACGCACGGTAGACCGTGCTGGCACGCCCGCGCACAACCGCACCGCATCCAAAAGAAGGAAGCCACGTGTTAACGCACATCCCCTTGGCCCGAAGCTCCAGGCCATGAGATTTGTGCAGCCAACAATTCAATGTTATGGATGATTTCATAGTTAATTGATTTCCTTGCTTTCATTGCCAAGTTGTTAATCTCCAGTTTATTATGTGCTTGATGTATGTTTTCTTGGAGTAGCTAACTAGGATTTTATGCATCTAGCACAGGTTGAGAAGGGGTTTAGATTCACCAATTCTACTCTCCTTTCACAAGCAACACATGAATGGCCTAAGAATCATTCAAGGGGTTAATAACCATAGGTTGACTGGGACAGATACCATGTTCTAGGACTTGTGTGATTATCATATTCTCAAGGAACTGAATGACTCTTGTATGCTTTATTTTAAGTAGATACCATGCTTAGGTTGCATATTAGATATCATGTGTTGTGTAGATAGCATGCACAATCACATGCCTTAGGAGAATCATGCATCCCGCACCTAGATACCATACGCTTGTATGCGATAATCTATTATTGATGAGCTTGAGTCAATTTCTATGCATTCATAACTTGGATAGGAAGACTAGTGGTAGATTCCAAGGCTCTAACACTTCTCAATCATTGTTTCACAACTTGTTGATTGCTGCCATTGTTACTTTCCAGCACTTCCATTTCATTCTCTTGTTTTCATTTCAACAACAAAACCCCCTATTTCGAGTGCGTGTGTGGTGCTAGGATTCTGTCCTAGACCTTGCCATTTGTTAGTTTGTTTGTTTCTTTGTGTTATGTTTTTCCAGCATTCCAAATAGTTTAACTTGTAACCATGTTACCATTCTCCGTGGGATCGACCTCGTATTTACATAAGCTATACTATAAACGGTTCGTGCACTTGCGAGAATTGATGTTGCTATTTTTAATAACTCATTTTAGTTGTTAGGAATAGGCTCAACAAGTTTTTGGCGCCGTTGCCGGGGAACCGGTAACGATGGTGCTATAGTTAGATTACTTTGAGTGTTTTTGTTTTAATTAGTTTTATTTGTTATTTTCGTTGGTTTTTCTTTCTGTATTCAGTTTTTCTTTTTAGTTGTTATCTCCATTTGAAGGCATTAATTTGGTTCTTGTGTGTGCATGTATGTCCGAATCTGAAACTGAGCCACTTTCACCAAGAACTGTTGTTGTACGTGCTGGTTTGAGGAGGAATTATAGTTCTTCAAGCGCTGAATCTAAGAGCTACGAATCTGATGGTTCAAGCAAGATGGCAGAGATTCCAAACAACAACAATAATAATGAAGGAGGTGGTGCACTTGTTGTCCAACCTCGGAAACCCCTGCGTGAATTTTCCATTCCCAAAGTCACTGATCAACCTTCGTGCATCGTCTATCCTCAACTCACAATTGACAGGTTTGAGCTTAGAAGTGGTATGATTCATTTTCTTCCAACTTATTATGGTAATACCACTGAGGATCCGTACATGCATGTTAAGCAATTCTTTGAAATATGTGCTACAATCAAAATTCAAGGACTTGATGATGAGCAGATTAAGATGAGGCTATTCCCATTCAGTTTAAAAGATAAGGCTAAGTCTTGGTTATACTCTTTGCCTAATGCTTCAATTCGTACTTGGGATGAGCTTTCTAATAAGTTTTTGCAGAAATTCTTTCCAGCTCAAAAGACTAACAAGATTAGAAAGGAAATTCTTGGTTTCACACAAAGAGAAGGAGAAGCTTTTCATGAATGTTGGGAGAGGTACAAGGAGATGATGAGTTCTTGCGCACACCACAACATAGAGAGTTGGATGCAAATGCAATCTTTCTATGAAGGTTTGCTTGATTCCGAAAGGATGATGGTAGATGCAACAAGTGGAGAAGGACTGATGAACAAAACAGCAGATGAGGCTTTTACTCTCTTTGAATCTTTGAGTGCTAACTCTCAACAATGGAGCTACAATAAAGGAAGAGGAGCTCCTATGAAAGTTGTGGTTTCTGAGGTAAGTACTAATAATGAGATTGCTGCAAAACTTGATGTTATGTGTTCTTTGCTTCAACAGGCAGTGACTGGCCCTCTAGGAAACAAAGTGGAAGTTCAAGACCAATCTTTTGCAGAGCACATGCTAGAGAAAGCAAATGCCCTTCAAGCAAGGAATCCTCATAATGATCCTTACTCAAACACATACAATCCCGGGTGGAGAAATCATCCTAATTTCAGGTGGAGCAACAATTCAAATGTGCGACAATCTCAAGGACCTCCCCCAAGATTCCAAACACAACAAAGGAAATTCCAGCAAGCTCCCCAACAAGTGCAAGAATAAAGGGGCGATCAAATGGGAGAATTGCAAGACATGTTCAAGAAGTTCATGGGGGCAACAGATGCAAACCAATCAGAATCTTCAAAATGCAGTGAACAAACTAGAAGTACAAGTTGGGCAGATTGCATCCTCCTTGAGTAATAGAGCATCCGGAACTTTTCCGAGCCAAACGGAGGTGAATCCAAGGCATCATGAGCAAGTTAAAGCAGTGCACATCTTGAGAAGTGGTAAACAAGTTGATAATAAGGTTGGAGATGCCAATGAAGAGCAAGAAGAGGGAGAAAATGTGGAGATCATTCAGCCACCACAAGGGCAGCCCACAGGTTCCGCCAAACAACCCCTTAATCCTTCTTGAGAAGGATTTAGGGTTTAGGGTTTAGGTGAATCCAAGGCATCATGAGCAAGTTAAAGCAGTGCACATCTTGAGAAGTGGTAAACAAGTTGATAATAAGGTTGGAGATGCCAATGAAGAGCAAGAAGAGGGAGAAAATGTGGAGATCATTCAGCCACCACAAGGGCAGCCCACAGGTTCCGCCAAACAACCCCTTAATCCTTCTGGAAGGAGGACAGGCCCTAAGGTATCATCTAATGCTAATCAAGTTCCAATTTCAACTAATGCTTTTAGGCCTATTGCACCCTTTCCCAGCAAGTTATCAAAGTCAAAGAAAGATCAAGGCTTGGGTGAGATAATGGAAACATTCAAGAAGGTGCAAATCAACATCCCATTGCTCAATGCCATTGCTCAGATTCCAAAGTACGCAAAATTTTTGAAGGATCTATGCACTAACATGAGGAGATTCAAAGAGCATGAACAGGTTGCATTGAGTGAAGAGGTAAGTGCAGTGTTACAAAGAAAGTTACCTCAAAAGCTAAAGGATCCAGGTTCGTTTTTTATACCTTGCATTGTTGGTGATTTCAAGATTCAAAAAGCTTTGCTTGATCTCGGTGCATCTATTAACCTTATGCCATATCATGTTTATGAGAAACTTAACCTTGTTGAGTTGCAAGCCACATCTGTGACCATTCAATTGGCAGATAGAACTATTCGATATCCCAAGGGGATTTTGGAAGATGTGTTGGTGAAAGTAGAAGGTTTAATCTTGCCAGTTGATTTCTTAGTCTTGGAGATGGAAGAAGCACCAATTCCTGACAATGGATTGCCCCTTATCTTTGGCCGACCCTTCATGGCTACTGCTAAGACCAAGATCGATGTAGCACAAGGCACTCTCACCATGACCGTTAATGGGGAAACTATTGCATTCAAAGTGTTTGATGCCATGAATCTACCAAATGATGTTTAAGATTGTTTTCAAATTGAAGTATTGGGCGATCCAGGGAAAGAGAGATTTGATGGTCTTTCACATTCACTAGAAGCATGCTTGCTGCAAGGAGTAGACAAGGAGGAGCAGGGGGCTGCCCACATATTCAATGCTACAATTCCTACACTCAAGAAGGGGCTGCCCAAATTTGGACATACTCCAATCATTCCTCCAGTTCTTTGCGATTCTATTCATAACCAAAAAAGGAAAAGGAAAGCAGCAAGGAAACGATGGAAAAAGAAAACAAGCCTGGTGAACAATCTTGCATTGCATGAGGTGTCGATTGAGCCCAAACCCCCCCATTCACTATAGCAAGTTTGGATGTTTGGCTGAAGACATGAAACTTAGCGCTTCTTGGGAGGCAACCCAAGGTGACGAGGAGAAGATAGAACATGCAAGGAAGCCTACTTCAAAGGGGAGTTGTTTTCTAAACTCTAACATTTGGTTATGTCTTTTGCTTATCTTCTTTCAATTCATTTATAAGGCATTGCTTGTTCTTACACTCTAACCACTGAGGACAATGTTTCATTTAAGTTTGGGGGGAAGGATTTAGTTATGTTGTTTTATTGTTGTTTTATTGTCAAATTTAAAAATAGAAAAAAAAAATTGAGTGTTTATGCAGGATTTTGTGAGTTGCTTTGCCATCCTTTCAAACACCTAAGATAAGACTTGGATTTAATACTAATATGGTTTTTCAGAAATTGACAGTCATGGTTTAAGGCCTTTGTGTGGTTCTGAGTTAACTTTGTCTTGCATGCCATCCTTGGACTTATTGAGCACTTTGTCGAGTTAGTCCAATTTCTTGCGACTTGGAAACGTTATGCAATTCTACTTATCTCATGATCTGGGTTTCGTACTCTAGAACTTATTTGAATATCTCTTGAGACATTCTGTTGCCATACAATGCTTAGGAAGTGATTTAGGCCATGTTTAAATCATTTGAGCCTTTCTAACCATCCCTCTACATGTATTCATCCCTAGTCAACCCATTTGAGCATACGTTAAACCTTTCTTTGTGTAAACCATTCCTACCATAATAAATCTCTGTTTCTTATCTTTACCTATTCTTTGAGCAATTAAAGCTATCTTTAAAGAGAGTCTTAAAGAATGCAAGGTTTTTGGAGCAAAAGTGAATCATTAGTGCCATAACCCAAGTGTTGAAAAGAAATAAGTTTGGGGGTATTGGTAACTAATCAAAAGAGGTAATGAAGTGTGGCCAATGTAGTCACAACCCTAGGGTGTTATAAGGAGAGATCATGGTGATCTAGGGTAAAGAGCCACAAAATTAGGCCAAATAAACACATTTGAAGTGCTGAAATTATGTTGAAAATATGCTCATGTATGTGTTCCTTGCTTGTTTTAAAGTTCAATAATTTCTCATGCTCTTACCTATGCTTTAGTTGTGCTCAAGATTTTTTTACATATCCATATCCCCTCTTTCATTCAACCACTACCCTAAGCCTCATTACAACCCATGTAAAGTCCTTTTGATCCTTGGTATTGTATGGTATTACTGTGGAGAGCTGATTTGATAACGAGCTTATGGGGTTCGAAATTCTTGATTGTGCTCTAAGTGTGTGCGCATGTACTTATTTGAGTTGCAAGTGTTGTTCTGATTTGGCATTCACACACTACACTTAAGGATGTCATTGTAAGCTTTGCACACTCTTGAATCATGTGTGGAACTTAGATTGTGATTGTTGTATTTCTTTGAAACCATATACTTTTCTGATTCTTTGAGGATATTGCTTGGAAGGCTAGCTGCTTCTCTCCTGTTTCCAAAATTGTAGTTTTATTCTGTTTTGCTCGAGGACTAGCAAAATCTAAGTTTGGGGGTATTTGATAAGTTCATAATTTCACACATTTGCATGCCTTCTTTACTTAGTAATTTTATTTAGTTTCTCTTTATTTCGAGTCACTTACCTATGTTTGTGTGTTTTGCAGGTTAAGGCAGCAAGAGATCACATTTGATACAATCCATGCATGTTAAGGGCTGATTGGCACAAGAGGAATATAAGCTGAAAGACAGACCCAAATTGGGTCACACTCCTTGTTAGTCCAGCTTCATAGGTCATCTTGCAAGCCTCATTTCAGCAACTTACACAACTCAGATGAGGAGACGTCCTTCATAGAAGTCGTTCCAATGGGTGTCTAGTATAACATATCCAAATGTCAACCCAATTGAACATATTTGGAGTCCTTAGCCTATCAAACACTGAACCATGCTTAGGAGGATTTTAATATGCAGCTGCCAGCTAATGAGCCTTGTGTTCCACACCTCCTTTGAGCCATGTGCCTCAACTCAGCTGTACTTGACTTTAGACCTAACATGTTGAGCATGCTTAATTATGGGGAAACATGTTTGCACAAATCAAGGAGCAGTTTCCAGGATTTCTGGTGTGCTGTCTACACCAGCTAAGGGGAGGACGAATTGGCAGTCCATAAAGGGAGAGTTGCAGCTCATTCAAGGAGGGAGACACAGATACATTCACTTCATCCATTACTCTCATACACACATTCAGATTCACCACAAAGAGAGAAGAGAGCTAGCTGCAAAGGAGGGAGAGCTTGGAGCTGTCCTGGGAACTACCTTGCTGCCACCAACTAGTTTTTCTATTCTCTTTATTCTATTTATGTATTTCTTATTTTCCGTATTCATAGTTATGTTTAACTAATCCATTTAGTTAGGGCGTAGGATGAAGCCCTAGTCATGAATATTCAATGTTATGGATGATTTCATAGTTAATTGATTTCCTTGCTTTCATTATCAAGTTGTTAATCTCCAGCTTATTATGTGCTTGATGTATGTTTTCTTGGAGTAGCTAACTAGGATTTTATGCATCTAGCACAGGTTGGGAAGGGGTTTAGATTCACCAATTCTACTCTCCTTTCACAAGCAACACATGAATGGCCTAAGAATCATTCAAGGGGTTAATAACCATAGGTTGACTAGGACAGATACCATGTTCTAGGGCTTGTGTGATTATCATATTCTCAAGGAACTTAATGACTCTTATATGCTTTATTCTAAGTAGATACCATGCTTAGGTTGCATATTAGAGATCACGTGTTGTGTAGATACCATGCACAATCACATGCCTTCGGAGAGGCATGCATCCTGCACCTAGATACCATAGGCTTGTATTCAATAATCTATTGTTGATGAGCTTGAGTCAATTTCTGTGCATTCATAACTTGGATAGGAAGACTAGTGGTAGATTCCAAGGCTCTAACACTTCTCAATCATTGTTTCACAACTTGTTCATTGCTGCCATTGTTTACTTCCAGCACTTCCATTTCATTCTCTTGTTTTCATTTAAACAACAAAAACCCCCCATTCGAGTGCGTGTGTGGTGCTAGGATTCTGTCCTAGACCTTGCCATTTGTTAGTTAGTTTGTTTCTTTGTCTTATGTTGTTCCAGTATTCTAAGTAGTTTAACTTGTAATCACGTTACCATTCTCCGTGGGATCGACCTCGTATTTCATAAGCTATACTATAAACGGTTCGTGCACTTGCAAGAATTGAAGTTGCTATTTTTAATAACTCATTTTAGTTGTTAGGAATAGGCTCAAAAAACTTGTTGGTTCCTATTCCTAACAACTAAAATGAGTTATTAAAAATAGCAACTTCAATTCTTACAAGTGCACGAACCGTTTATAGTATAGCTTATGTAAATGCGAGGTCGGTCCCACAAAGAATGGTAATGTGGTCACAAGTTAAACTACTTAGAATGCTGGAAAAACATAAAACTAACTAACTAACTAACTAACAAATGGCAAGGTCTAGGACAGAATCCTAGCACCACACACGCACTCGAAATGGGGGGTTTTGTTGTTGAAATGAAAACAAGAGACTGAAATGGAAGTGCTGGAAAGTAACAATGGTAGCAATCAACAAGTTGTGAAACAATGATTGAGAAGTGTTAGAGCCTTGGAATCTACCACTAGTCTTCCTATCCAAGTTATGAATGCATAGAAATTGACTCAAGCTCATCAACAATAGATTATCGCATACAAGCCTATGGTATCTAGGTGCAGGATGCATGATTCTCCTAAGGCATGTGATTGTGCATGGTATCTACACAACACGTGATCTCTAATATGCAACCTAAGCATAGTATCTACTTAGAATAAAGCATACAAGAGTCATTAAGTTCCTTGAGAATATGATAATCACACAAGTCCTAGAATATGGTATCTGTCCTAGTCAACCTATGGTTATTAACCCCTTGAATGATTCTTAGGCCATTCATGTGTTGCTTGTGAAAGGAGAGTAGAATCGGTGAATCTAAACCCCTTCCCAACCAGTGCTAGATGCATAAAATCCTAGTTAGCTACTCCAAGAAAACATACATCAAGCACATAATAAACTGGAGATTAACAACTTGGCAATGAAAGTAAGGAAATCAATTAACTATGAAATCATCCATAACATTGAATATTCATGACTACGGCTTCATCCTAAGCCCTAACTAAATGGATTAGTTAAACATAACTATGAATACAAAAAATAAGAAATACATAGATAGAATAAAGAGAATAGAAAAACTAGCTGGTGGCAGCAAGGTAGTTCCCAGGACAGCTCCAAGCTCTCCCTCCTTTGCAGCTAGCTCTCTTCTCTCTTTGTGGTGAATCTGAATGTTTGTATGAGAGTAATGGATGAAGTGAATGTATGTGTGTCTGTTCCTTGAATGAGCTGCAACTCTCTAATTATAGACAGCCAATTCGTCCTTTCCTTGGCTGGTGTAGAAAGCCCACCAGAAATCCTGGAAACTGCTCCTTGATTTATGCAAACAAGTTTCCCCATAATTAAGCATGCCTTGTTTTGCTCCTTCAGACTTCCAATGCTGAAATGCCTCCCTAATTTGTCAACATGTCCGGTCTAATGTCAGGTACAGCTGAGTTGAGGCACATGGCTCAAAGGAGGTGTGGAACACAAGGCTCATTAGCTGGCAGCTGCATATTAAAATCCTCCTGAGCAT